TTTATGGAAATTCGTTTTAACATTCTCTTATTTACCATATGTAATTCCAACTCTGTTCTTTATATTTTGGTTTTATGTCTATATTTGATGTACAGACGTATTGAATCTTTATAGTTAATTCTACAAATATTTTCCCTTCTCATCCATTTCCTTCAAGATTAGATAGCACTAAGATTTAAACATTTAAAATATTTTCTATGTGTGATACTGATGACAGTTAATACCCTTTTAATCACTTAACTCCAGTGTTGGATTGGGGGTTAGTAAATGCTAATCTACTGTAAAGCTGCCTCTTGGGCTCATTTTCAAGGCAATTCTGATGGAAAGATCATAACAACCTCCTCTTAAAAAAGTATTGTTTCCACGAAGCTTCTCTATTCAAGACCTGTAATGTACTTCCTTATTGCTGACTCCTGGTTTATTTATTCCTCTTGGTTTATTTTTTGTGTTTTTCAATATTTCATTTCAAAATTTTGGCAAATATGTAAGAATATTTGGGCCAGATGAAAAGGTCAAATGTATTAATTAGAGAAAAATACTATTTTACTGTCATTAAGCATTCAGAAATTCAGTTTCAATTTCCAGGACCTCAGACAAATAAAAGAATAAAAGAATACACAACTCAAATAAACCACAAATGGTTGAAAAATCATAAAGATAAAGTACACATGTGCATATTAGGTACATTCTAGTTTGCCAAAATGAAGTATATTAGCAACAAAGTGCAAAGGAATAGTGGCTTTTTCACAAGTTGAAAACAACCACAATATCCATGTCAAATGCTTTGTATAATTTATTGTGACTTCATTATATTGGTGTTAATATGCAAACCCAGCAAAATAGATTTAGACTGCAATTCTGGCTGATCTAAATTCTGCTGCCTAAACGGAAAGAGCTTAACAAACAACAAAGAAAATCTGAGCAAGAATCAATTCAACACTGTAACTTCCATATTGTTGGTCCCAAAAGCACTACTCAGGATATCAGGTATCTTCCAAAGGTAGACACAAAGTGATAAGAAGCACTTTTGATTGATCAGAGGATACAGAGCAAATAAAGCACTTACATTTCTATATAGCTGGGGAAACCAAGATCCCAAGTAGAATAAACAAGATACATAACCACAAATAAAGCCTGACATTTCAATTATGCCAAGAGTATCCTAAAGTCAGTAACACAGAAAGAATGATGATATTAAGGGGCAATCTAAGCATACATTAGGATTTAAACATTTTAAGGGAAACTGGGAGTCATTTGACAAAATTTGGATTGAAATCTTTTTTTCTCTGTATCCTTGTTATTTTGGAGACCAATGACTATTAAGCACCTCATTATACGATGGGTAGTATTCCCTAGTCAGGTAGTAAAATCCCTTATTTATGCACTGAGATATGCTAAGTTGGTTTGAATAATGGCAACTTGAAACTTTTTTTGAAATAACTTCAATATAGATTTATTTACAGGGTTTCTATCAGGATTTCCGGTTCAGATCCAGAGAGCCACTTCTCTGGCTGGAATATATAAAATAACCTGACTGTTAGAGGGCCAATAGGCAGGCTCACCAGCAGGATGGGGCTCCTTAGTCTGGGTCAAGCCTTCCTGCCCACCAGCCTCTGTCCCCTGCCAAGAGAAAGTGCTTTCTGGACTTCATTTACTGGGATTTTGCTGAGTCCTGATCAATTCTGGTGAAATGAAGTGCACTACCTATGAAATCCCAAAGGCTTGAAGTTTCTTAGATGTTTTTCCAAAAGTTAATAAAAATTCGTTCTTGAATTTTTACTAGGAGAACATGGAGGGGGGTGAGGATCACTTCTCAGCATACTCTCATTTCTTTTTTGAAATGAAATGTTTTCTGGACTAACTTTAGCACTTCTACAACATTTTTGTGGAGGTTATGATATTTACAGCAATGTAAAACTCGGCAAAAATATTTCTGCAGTGACAAAAAAGGACCTGAAAGAAAGAGATTATGACCTCCTCAAATGAAAATTACCCTTTTTCCTTCTGTTGAAGTCCCACATTGATTCTTCATCAATAATAAAATCGACATTGCCGCTGACAGCACAGTGCACACCAGCACCCAGATCACACGTAAATTCTGCAACTTCTACTCCCTTGCGCTCAAAAACAAACAAGGCAGTGGTGAACAAGCATCACAAGCTACTGAACTGATATCTAATGGCACACCAAAAGAAATTACTGCAGCAAAATATCACTTATCTGGTATTTAATCTCCAGAATACTTGAGTTTCCAGAATGGTTCCACGATAAAAGGTATCCATAAAAGATATATTCTTTAGTTAGAAGTCAGTACCACTAAGTGTATCTGAGAGCAAGTTAGCCACAGGTAGTGCCTGATGGACTGCCTTGATTGGCTGGATCAATTATAGAAAATGAAAGTGCTATTTTAATTGCCCAGCTACACGTTTACAAGCTCAGTGCATCCATCCTAGTGTAGACAGAGCTTGGGAGGAGATAACAGACAAGAAAGAAGAACACTACGGAGATTAACTAGGAAGATATTGCAGAATAGGATTGGAGAAGATTAAAAGTGGTGTCAGTGGCAATAGTAGCCACCAGAAATTAAAAGCAACAATAAGAAGTTTGATCAAGGCCTCTGAGAAAAGGAGAGAGGCAGCGAAAAGCCCTGAGCTTGTGACAAATAAAAAGCGAAGAGACAGTGAGAAACCTGGGCATCACTGGAACATGCCAAGCAGAGGTCCTGAGATGGGAAAAGAGGAGTCATTTAACCAACAAACTCTTCATAAACACCTATACTTCTAGGAACCAGGAATGCAAAACTGAATAATTCATGGCTCTGCTCCAAGAGGCTGTAAATTAAACCATTACATCGTGGGGACCAACTCTTTTCTGCATCTAGATCACTCAGACTTGAAGTCAGCAGAGCCAGCCATTTTGGAAAGCTCTCCAAGAAAAAAATCCAAAAGCATCTGGTCCGTAAACTGTTAACCATACAGAATAGAATGACTCATTTTTCATGGGCACTGGCTGGCTATGTTCTTACTTTATCGGGTAATAATAAAAGCATGAGAACTTCCAGGAGAGATTATCAAATTGTACACTCTTGTTTAGGGAGCTAGGAAATACTGGGATGCAGAATCTTAGTGAATGTAAAAGACAAAGCCATAACACCAAAACAAACACACACACCAAAACCTACATTTAAGTAGAAAACGTGGTTCCTTATAAATCAGATAATCATCCACCATGGGTTGCTAGGGGCAAGGTAAGTCCATGCAGTTTTAACCCCTGTATTCTACTTTTAATTTTTTAGTTATGCTGCATCTGTATTAGAGTTAGCATCAGCAGACATCAGACACACAGACATCTGACTCCAAGATTCTGGGTAAATCATTTCCACTTGTCTAACATCAAAACTGATGAAACATTTATTTAAAAACATTTGTGGAGTTATACCTGCAAAGGTAGAACTCATGGTTTCTTACATATTACAGCCACATGTTAAGACAATAGACTTCAATAAAAAATTATCTTCAAACACATTTTGTATATGGGAGATTTGCTTTATCCCTCAATGCTCCAGGTTAGAGAGCCCATCGAGCATACGTTCCTTCACGAAACTTAATTTTTTTTTGAACTCTGCAGTGACCCTAAGTTTAACAGCATTCCAAATTCAGTCTACTTTGCCCACACAAGATATTGCTGCTAAGCAAACCTCTGCTCCAAAAACCTCATAAACTATGTGAGCTGCTCATTTTAGGCCTGAGGGAGTAAATTGAAGAGAGCTGGCCTGTCATACTATTTTAGACTGTTTGCCATAGAAATTCAGGATTAGGTCTATATTGATGCAGCCAGTCATGGTGGTGACTATATATATCTATATCTATACATATAGTTGTGTATATGTGTGTATCCCGTTATTTTTGTGACCTATTACCTTTACTTTAGTTCTTGATGACATGATTTATGTAATATGCTTAAGGTGAGTTGTAGGGGAAGACACAGGGGAGGAAACTGATTGGGTGCCCTTTAAGTACCAAGTACTTTACTGAAGACTTCTGCATATTATATAATTCATTCATTCCACCACTATTCATTGAATGCCTGCTGTGTACCAAGTACTTGAGACTCAGTATAGAACAAGGCCGAGATGGTCCCTGTTGTCATGAGGCTTATGATTCACATGATACCAATTAAACTGTGAGTCAGCCTGATAAATACCTGATATTACTTTATGTTGATTTTGAAATCTAATGTTGCCTCTACTTACTAGCTATGTGACCTTGGTCCAGTTTGCTGATGCCTCAGTTTCCTCATCTGTAAAACTGATCATAAATAAATCAGTTGCTATCAGAAATAAATTAGAGCAAAGAGCACATTTTAAAGGCCTTGCACAGTGCCTGGTACACAACTGGGAGTCCTCTCCCGGCCTTCCTCATGCTAGTACCCAGTGGAATTTGTAGTTGATTTGGAAATTTGAGTAGCTGTTCTTGCCCTTGTAATAGTACAGCCACCAGGGGGCAGTAGGAAAATGTACTCATTTGAATACTGTTGTAGAAATGTTTGTCTGTAGCCACTACCTATATTTTTAATGATTACTTTTATTGTGGACTGTGTGTCAGCATCTGTGGATTACTGTTCAGCCTTAGTATAGAAAAGAATAAGCTATCCCCTAATGGCAACATTTCATGTTCAGCTACCTTGAGGCAAGAAAATATTAAAACTAGATGAAGATAAGAAATTAAAACTGGATATGGATTTGAAAACAGACAAGCCTCTGTTCTACTCTAAGCACGTTGTCACATTAAGAGAGTCGCCAGAGAAAATATAGAACACCCATGCAATATTTAGGATGTGCTTATACTAAAAAATTATTTATTGTTTATCTCAAATGCAATCTTAACTGGGTGTCTTGTATTTTTATTTGCTAAATTTGGTAACCCTATATATGAAGCCTTCCATGCACACATAACCCAGAACCTTCACTCTTTTAACAATACATCCTGAGAAAGGTTTGCCTGAATAAGTAGTTCGTTAGTCAGGTAGTAGCCTATGATATTTGTCAGGTCTCCACCTATCCAGCAAAGCAGAAAACCCAGAGAGACTACTTCAGCCACTTTTCCAGTTTCGTGGGCTATGTAGAGCTGACTGGAAAGCAACTATTGACAAATAAACACTTGGAGCCTAGACCTTAATGAGCCAACTCAATACCAGATACAAAGAAAACTGATGATATGCAGCAATAAAACATCTCATTCACTTCCAGTCGAGGCTCTAGGACTGTTTCAAAGCTGTCTTCATTCACAGTAAGCAGCAAACACATCTGAGACCTAAAAGAAACTCAGTGGCAACTCTAAAACATTAATCTGCCTCTATCATTTCTATGTATATTCATATATATGTCCTAAGCACATGTTTATGTTTTCTTGGCCTCATAATGAGGGAAGATACTAAGTCAGATAATTAGAGAGACTAAATATATCACTAAAACATTAATAAGACTAGAGGTTCAAAATCTTTATCAGTGATTAGATTTTAAGCCAGTATC